AATTCTGGGACTTGAAGTCCACTCATCTTAAAGTGGCCAAGTTTGGACAACACTGCTCTAAGGAGTAAGGCATTGATGTTTTTATGAAAGGAACCAAGGGAATTAAAAAAGAACGGCTAAGAATAGCATGATACCAGTTTTCAGAATATAGTCTCACAAGTGATGGATGCTGGCCAGAGATCCTAGTGCTAGAACAGCAAGCCAGAAACTTCCAGTGGGATACTATTTGGGAAACTAACTCCTGAACTCTACAACATTCACTTTTGAAGAAACATTAATGGAACAATGCAGGATATATGTTTATAGTACATAAAATCAAAAGACCCCCCCCCCCAATTATTTGTGGCTATCTTGAAACTATCTTTAGTTCCTATACTGGAGTTGGCAAACTGGGGATTCCACGTGTTCTTGGACTAAAGCTTCCAAAAATTCACCGGATTAGCTGGAATTGATAGGAATTAAGAAAAACATTCTATATATTACTTTTAAATTCCTCTCTGCAATGCTAGTATTTCATTTCCAGTTTGGAACAATCATACACATTTCTGAAATCATGTGTTTTACTTTAAATTGAGATATTGTAGACAACAAATTATTACAATTCTAGGGCAAAGTAAGGTCCTTCCATTTCTATAGGGATTACCTCGATACATGCCAAAGAACCCTTCTGAGCGTATTGTCTTCACCAAACAATCCTGCCTAGAATATGAGAGGAAGAAACAATAGTAAAAACTATTTCAAAGTTGGGATTCATATTTGTAATTTTTCTTGCAGAGGTGTTGCTCCCTGATCTTCCATGGTGTTTCTCCTTGGGGTAGCAAGGCCTTCTTAGCTTTGGCACCAAGACTGTTGAAAAGCTCATTATATTCAGCCTTTAGTAGATACGCAGAAGAATTCTTTTTCATTACTGATTTTATTTCTGATTGTTGGTAACACTGTATCATTGATGCTCATTTAACTGCACTTGCTGGTAATTGTAGGAAATGTGAATAATTTTCCTCATGCACTCTAGCATCTTTCCCATCCTGATGCTTTTCAGAATTGCTGGATCTGCAACATACAGTTTAGAAATTTTGGGAGTTGCAGGCCCAACACAGGTTGGGGAGGGCTGCTTTATAAGATATTATATTAAAAACATTATAGATAAGAGGAAAAAACCCAGAGAACTTTGAGCCCTACTCAACAGTGCTAGGAGATGCATCAATAGAACACATTTGGATTCCTTTCAGGTCTAATCTTATTATTCTGTGCCATTACTCACGCACATGCCTGTGTAGACTGCTCGTCCTTGCTGATTCTGGAGACGGGTTTTGGCCAAATCAATGGGGAAAACGCAAGTTACCCCCACAAGGCCAGCTATACCTCCATTGATTAATTTTGCTGGAAGGCTGAAAAGGAGGAGGAGGATAGTTACCAACATTTTTAAAAAAGAATGAGTGTTCTTTCAAATCTCATGCTTCTTCTATGTTGTCCTCGCAGGAATGCTTTGCATGTTCGATGATGAAACAGTAAAAACAGCTCTTGTATTATAAATACAGTGGTACCTCGGTTCATGAACTTAATTTGTTCCATGATTCTGGTCGCGAACCGAATTGGTCGCGAACCGAATCG